CCAGTGATCTGCCCACCTTGGCCTCCCAAAGTGCTGAGATTACAGGGGTGAGCCACCATGCCGGGCCCATTGTGGACTTTTTATCATTCATTTTTCCTGGTCACTCAGTGAATCTTTCTAATCTAAAGACTGGTGACCTTTAGCTCTGGAAATGTTCTTGTATTATTTGCTAATAATTTCCTCCCCTTTATTATTTCTCTTCTTTGTTTATGGGACTTTAATTAGTGAACTGTTGGACATCCTAGACTTTTTTCTCTAATTTTATCTTTTCCATTTTCCATGACTTTGTCTTCTTGCTTTACTAAGATACTTCCTTAATTTTTCATTAAATCCTTCTATTGAAATTTTAATTTCAGCATTCCTAATTTTATTCACAAGAGCTCATCCTTCATCCTTGTTTCTTTTTTAGCATTCTGTTTTTGCTTTGTGGATACAAACTATTTGGTTTTCTTCTTGAGAATATTATCATTTTTAAAAGTTTGCTTCTAAACCCTGCATTGTCTGGATTTCCTCCCAGTTCCTTTTCTCTGTTAGTTTAAATTGCTGTCTTTTCCTAAATATCTGGCAAACTACTGGTTGTGTGTTTGAATTTAAGCACTGAAAGATGACTGGAAACTCTGAGTGGATGGGAATAATTTATGGCTTGGTGAACTTTGCTATAGGATTATAAGGCAGAATGCTGGCTTTTTATTGAGGACTCCAAAGTGTCAGTTCCGTAGGTCTTTTCTCTTGGGTCAGATTCCCTTGGATGGAATCCTCCAATCTCCTGCTTTTGATTGGAGGGGCAGCAGTGTGGAAGGTATAAGCCTGGCTGCCAGCATTCTGGGAGCCAAGGAGGGAAAAGGAGCTGAGAGTTTTAAGACTGCTTTCAGTATAATGTCAAAGCTCAGCAGAAAGTAAACTTCACATATCCTTCCAGAATGAAGGAAGGGTAGTTATTGGTTTAGTGTGCCTGAATCTGTGGATCTAGTTGTTCCTTATGAAAACTTTCAACTTTCTGTGGCACTAAATCAACTTGATGTTGTTGGCTTCCTGATCTAGCTTTCTCTGGTCTGTTGTTGGTTACCACACATTCATTGCTTTCTAGCTTCCAAACATTTGTTGACAATCTTTTACTCGTTGGCATCTCTTTTCCATTCTCTTTGTCTTTGTAGGTTTATGACATTTCATTCTTTGACTGTTATTTCAGTGAGATTTCATGAAAGCAAAAATAAAACATATATTCAAACCACTATATTTAATAATCTCTACTCTCCAACCCTCTGAAATGTTTTGTCCCACTACCACACCATTGAAAGTATTCTTTTCAAGGTCATCAAATGAATACCTTGTTGCTAAATATAATAGACACCCCTTTGTTTCATCTTACCTGATGTCTCAGTAGCATTTGTCCTCCTGATCATTTTTACTTGAAATTTCTCTGCCCTTAGCTTCCATGAAAACTCCTGGTTTTCTTCCTACCTAGCTGTTTTTGTTTTGTTTTGCCTTTGTGAGCAATGTTTCCTTGGTCTATTCCTTTAATGCTATTGTTCTTTGTGATTCTGTCTTAGGTTATTCTCTTCTCTCATTACACGTTCTCCTTGTTGCAAACTCATTGGTTCCTAGGGCTTCAATTACCATTTAGATGGTTATGATTCCCAACTCTTTATCTGAATCTTATTTTCATAGGCTCAGGTATAACCTGAGGTGTAGGTGGAATAGATGACTATCTATGTAATATGACTTGAGAATCATCTTCCCAACTTCAATACTGGTCTCCCACAGGGTCTGAAATTTTCCCCCACCTTTATGCCCTGTATTGTGTTAAGGTACCATGACTTCAGTTAAAATGAAATTTTAGCTGGGAGAGGTATGTCTTTCCCCTTACAAATGATGCCTTATATTATTTGTAATAGAGACCAAGGCCTTAAGAGACTGCAACAATATAGCTTACTTTGTGTTTTGCTTAAATAAAAAAAAACACAGTCAGATACACACACACACACACACACACATAAACACACACACACACATACACACACACACACACACACACACACCCCCACCAGGTCACTTTTAACCCATTCTTAACCTTTCATCCACCGTTAACATTTAGGAATATAGTATTCCAATATTTCTATTTAGATATACTTCACAAACATGATATCATGCTATATATACTGCATTATACTCTACATTTGAAACAATGTATCACAAACTTTTCTCTGTATCATTGGATATTATTATAAAATCTGATTTCCAATTGCCTCATGTTATTTTATCTTTTGATATATAGTACATTACTTAACTCAGTCTCCACTGTTAGACAATTAGGCTACATATGGTGTGTTGAGTGCCCTTGTAGTTGTATCTTTGCATACATCTCAATTATTTCCATAATAAAATTTTTATGAAATAGAACTGTGGTGTCAAAGAAGGTTTATATTTTAAGCTATTTTGAAATTTAATGCTAATTTGGCCTTCAAAATATGTATCAATTTCAATCCTAATACAAATATGTAGGCATTATTGAATATAGGCATAAAAGCTCCTATGCTGTCATTTGTTTGTAATTTAAACTTTATCTCATGTTAATTTACATTTCTTTGATTTCTCATATAGTTGGACTTTTTAAATATATTTATTTGCCATTTGTTTGCTTTGACTTTGTTTTCTTTGATGCTTTGTGAATTAACCCTTTTTGTTTTATTTGTTTACATGTATGCTTATTCCAAGACACTTAAAAATCTGGTCTCTTTGCTTCCAATTTTGACCTTTTCCAATCCCTCCACTGAAGCCATAGTACTATTCCTGAAACATGAATTTCCGCATATTACTTCCCCACCTAAAATGCTTTTGTTTTGTTTTGCCTTTGTGAGCAATGTTTCCTTGGTCTATTCCTTTAATGACTCCCATCATTCTTAGGATAAAATCCAACGTTTGTAACATGGCCTACAAAGTCCTGCATGATTTTGTCTCATTCTCCAGGCTTCAAACGAGAGAGAACACACACACATCCACATAGTCTTTGCTTAGTTAACTCTTACTCGTTAGGTAGGTCATTAGTTAAAATCGACTTCCTCAGGGGAGATTTCCCTTAGCTCCCAAGTCTCTTCAGATAACTCCTGTGTACGCTCTATTCCCTTTGTAGCAGCACTTCTATTGCCCATGTAATGTCTTTCTCCTTCATGATGTGTGAGCTCTTGAGGGCAGGAACCACAACAAAACTTGTTCACTTTGTGTATCTCCAGTGCCCAGTACAGTGCCTGGCACACTAGTTGTGCTTAATAAGTATTGGATAGATGGATGGAAGAAATAAAGAAGATTGGAGAGGCCAGAAAGAAATTCCATGAGCTAATTTTCTAGATTAACTGTTATCCTAAAGAAGTTGTCTCCTTGCTCACCAAATCTTGGCTATTCACGTGAAAACTTATGATTGTACTCAGCTAGTCTTTCATTTTGCCTGTAGCTTATCCCTGAAACATCTCTATTTTCAGAAACAATAAGAGATGTTGTTGGTAGATGTACAGCAGGGTATATGTACATGAGGATATGTATTTTTCAGTTTCTCATTCCCTTACAACTAGCTCACCGTAAAAGTTTCCTCTCTGGTCTTCCTACATTCAATGCCTTTTCTCTCTCCTCTAACCTACATATTGTTGCCAAATGAATTTTTCTTTCCTCACCATCATTTACATGTTCAAGGATCTTCATTGGCTCTGATTTAGAAGATCTTATACAGGACTAAAACATGTATATTTTGGCAAAAGCTCCTCCAGATAATCCTGATGTGTAGTGATGGCTAAGAAGTGCTGAAGTATACCTCAATTTTTTGAAGAACACTCTAAATGGTGAAGGGTATAGAATTTAGAATCAGATGGATATGGGCTCAATTACATTTCTGACTCTTACTGGTTGTGTGATCTTGGACAAATTACTTAGCATTTCAATGTGTCAACTTTCTCATTTGCAAAATTGAAATAACATCTACTACATAGGGTTATGGTAAAGAGTAAATTAGATAATGTGTGTAAAGTGAATGTAGAGAGCATTGTATATACTAAGCACTCGATAAATGTTAGCAGTTATTTTGTTGTTAGTCATTCAATTGTTCATTCAACAATTATTTTTTCACTATGTGTCAAATGCTGTGTTAGGGCCATGGAAGATATTAAGAGGTACAAAATATGAACCCTGCTCTTGAGACTCTTAGAATTAGTTGGGAAGATAACACTATCATAGCACTATACAATCGGAGGATAATAAAGTGAAATATAAATGCTATAAAAGATCACATAGGTCAGGTGCAGTGGCTCATGCCTGTAATTCCAGCACTTTGGGAGGCCAAAATGGGTGGATCACTTGAGGTCAGGAGTTTGAGACCAGCCTGGCCAACATGGCAAAATCCCATCTCTACTAAAAATACAAAAATTAGCTGGACGTGGTGGTGGGCGCCAGCTAGGGAGGCTGAGATATGAGAATTGCTTGAATCTGGAAGGGGGTCGGAGAAGCAGAGATTGCAGTGAGCTGAGATGGTGCCACTGCACTGCAACCTGGGTGACACAGCAAGACTCCATTTCAAAAAAAAAAAAAATCACATAAATGATATATTTAGGGAAGGTGTTAACCTAGCATGCTGACTTGCTGACTAGCATAAACAAAAAAGAAAAATCTTGAACTGTTCTTACCAAGTCTTTAAAGGTCTAGTTTTGATGCTGCCTGCCAGATGGAAAATGATGCAGAGGGGAAAAAATTCTGTATTTACTTCTCAGAATTAAGACCGGATGGGGGAGTGTGTTTGAGGGGTGAACATATGTGAATAAATATGGTATAACTCTTAATTGGTTCCTGATGATTAAAATTTAAATGGTTTCCATTGGAAAGGCACAGATATGATATTTTCACTAAATAAATCAAGCCTTACAAGTCATTTATTTTCACCTTGTTAAATCAGAAATCAAAAACTGGGTGAAGATTGCAACCTATTTTGATGTATATTGATGTACTTTTCTCTTTTTCAGGGTCGCTATGGCAACTGCATCTTCTCAAGTTCTGATTCCAGACATCAATTTTAATGATGCCTTTGAAAACTTTGCTTTAGATTTTTCCAGAGAAAAGAAACTGCTAGAGGGGTTAGATTATTTAACAGGTGTGAAAATACTGTGCTTTCCTTCCCATTTAATTTTTTTTCTTCTGGTATGCTTTTGCTTAAAAATAATTTGAAAAAGACAATATTTATAATTTACATATTTTTATAATCTTTAAAATGATGCATGTGTCTTTTCAGACAGAATATATTTTAGTTCATGTAACAGAAAAAAAGATGATTTATGATTTGTTAACTATTTCTAGGATCAAAATGGGTATACCATCTATATTTAAGAGTAAAACACAAGAAATTTGCTGAGAGATTTGTCCTTATGAATCTAACAGTAATGTATTGTTGCTTGTTATGAAAGTAGAACTCAGGTGACAATTAGGGAATGTTAGAGAATACCTTATGTGGGTACAAGTACTACCAAAATGGTTTTAAGGAAAATTAGGAGTTAGTAGGTCAGGAAGAAAAATGTAAGAAATATCTGGCTCTCAGACAATTTTAGAAGATGAGGGACACAACCAGCCTGTTGAAAATGCTGGCTACTTTCAGGATTGTTTAATGATCATTTCATGAAAAAAATATACACAAACTATTTTTGCAGCTGTTTTGTTACTACATTAAATACCTGCCCCTTATTGAACGTCTACTTTATTCTAGACACTGTATATTAATTTTATATCTTTAATCCTTACAACAAATCTATAAGTTAATTATCACCCCTATTTTGTAGATGAGGGAACTCATCATTTTGCACTTGACTATACAGCTAAAAATATGTAATGGGGCCGGGCACGGTGGCTCACGCCTGTAATCCTAGCACTTTGGGAGGCCGAGGTGGGTGGATCACCTGAAGTCAGGAGTTCGAGACCAGCCTGGCCAACATGGCGAAACCCTGTCTCTACTAAAAATACAAAAATTAGCCAGGCATGGTGGTGGGCACCTGTAATCCCAGCTACTTGGGAGGCTGATGCAGGAGAATCACTTGAACCCACGAGGCGGAGGTTGCAGTGAGTCGAGATCATGCCACTGCGTTCCAGCCTGGGCAACAAGAGCAAAAATCCATTTAAATATATATATATATACTCATTTTGAAATAAAAAAATTAAGTTGAAGACCATATGTTAAGAAAACCATATAATTACTTTAATGTCTACATAAGTGTTTATGCAGGCAGACTAGACAGCTGGGGCAATCATCACAAAAATTTAGGCTTATATTTTTGTTGTAGAAAAGTTTAGGCTTATATTATGTTGTAGAAAAGTGGTTTTAGGGAGCTTGAGGTCCTAGCATTTTGCTTCAGGTTGCATGGTTCATGCAATTTAAAGATTCTCTATTAAGAAAATCTTCTCTTCAAGAGATGTTGGGTTAGGCAGGAAGAGATGTTGGGTTAGGCAGGAAGAGTAACAATTGTAAAATTCCAGAAGAGAGAGTATGCTTTCCTTACTTTCTTTTCCACCTTTCCTTACAGCCCCAAACCCACCATCTATCCGAGAAGAACTCTGTACTGCCTCCCATGACACCATTACAGTCCACTGGATCTCGGATGATGAGTTCAGCATCAGCTCCTATGAGCTTCAGTACACCATATTCACTGGCCAGGCTAACTTCATCAGTAAGTCATGGTGTAGTTGGGGCCTGTGGCCAGAGATAAGGAAATGTAAGGAAGCAGTAAGCTGCTCAAGATTGGCCGGGGCGCCACGAGGCAAGTGTTTGTAAGACATGTTAGGTTGTTTAGTATAGTGTTTCATAGACAGTGTAAGCTCCCCAGAGCATTGCAAAGACCTTACTGATGGGTAACAAGCAAGTTGTATATTTCCTTGCTGGGCAGTTACTGGGGCCATTCTCATTCATTTATGGAACCCTTAGCCTTTCCTCAATTAATCCATGTCACTCCACTTTCCCAAGGAGAGTACAGCTTGGTTGGTACTTGTTCCTTGCCACCATCATTGCTGGTTCTGTGTGTATGAACATCTCTCTCCTTGACTCTTCTTCTACTTCATTATCATGGTAAAATACATTATGTTCAAAGACATTTCCTTTACCAAACATACCTCTGTCAGTTAACATGGTGACAAGCCTCCTGCCTCTGTCACTCTTCCCTTTACTTCTTCCTTTCCACTAAGAATTATGCTAAATATGAAAACATGTCAGTGGGCCACAAAATGAAAAAGGTTAACAAAGCTGTTGTTTAGCTCACATGTTATGGTTTCACTTTGTGGTGAATTGGAGCAAGACAAAGCAGAGTAGGAACTTCACTCATGCCAGTCAAGAGGGGATGAGCTGAAAGTTCCCCTCAATGCCCTGGGTGTGGGGGCAGTTGGAGGGGACGCGGGGTGGAAATGGAAATAAAAGCAAAATTAAAGCTGGATTCAAGACTGGAACAGATTCCCAACCTAAAATAGCATCTCCATAGCTGCAAATTAGTATTTTCTTTTACCTTTTTGTTCCCGCTTTTGTGTTTGACTTCACAGGCCAGCCTGAGAGTAGTTTTTCCAACTAACCCCTTCTATTAGGCTTCCTTTTCCTGTTTTGTGACAAATCTGGGGCAGAATTCTGTTTTGTAACAAGGTGGGGTGGGGAGATGAGATGACATTTGGGGATCAAACTGTATAAAACATTTGCCTCATGCAACTCCAACCTAAACCACTTGGCCCATATAGCTATGTTCCTGGGTGTTTCTTCAGATTGTGAAGTCACAAACTCTAATGCCCCACTGACTTACTTGTCTCTCCTTCTCTGGAAAGTCTTAATGCCAACAACTGTGCTTCTTTTTCCTGATATGGGGAAAGCAGTCATCTCCCAGGAATTAAGAAGAAGTCTGAGAAGTGACAAAGATCTAGAGGTTGTCACCTCTGTTTTCAAGGTTATATAGTCCTTTGTAAAGAAAAGCTTAAAGGGTAATTCTCAACAGTGATAGGATCGTAGCATCTTAGAATTGGAATGGACCTTAGAGGTCATCTAGTCTAATCTTCTTCCCTCCTGCCAGATACTCAGTAGATAATCATCCTGTCTCTGCTTGAATATTTCCAGTGGTGGGTAGCTCACTTCTAACAAAACAACCCATTTGATTGTTGTGCAGCTATAAATAATGGCCAGTGCTTCCTTATAAGAGGCTTAACTCTTCCTTTAAGTAAATAATAACGACAATAATAATTTACATGTGTATTATGCTTTGCCATTTACAAATGCTCCCACATACATTATCTCATTTAGTCCTTATGGGTGCTTAATTAGCCTTATGAAATGTTATTAACTCTACTTTATAGATGAAGAAACTGGGGCGCAAGTTGAGTGATTGCCCAAAGTCACAGAGCTACGAAATGTTGGAGTCAAGGTTGCAGCTTGAGCCTGTCAGACTTCAAGTTTAATGCTCCTTGAAGTAAACCACAACAACCAGTTAGTCCTAGTTCTGACCTTTTGTGCCTCACTAACAAACCTAATCCATCTTTCACATAGCAGTTCCTCAAATAATTTTCGTTAGTTCCTATGTCCTTCTAAATTTTCTCTTTTCCAGGCTAGGCATCTTCCTTTCTTTCAATTGCTCCTCATATGGCATAGTTTCAGATCTTTTGCTACCCTAGTATCATTTTTAAGAACACACTCCTGTTTATCACTGTGCTTTATAAAATGTTCTGTCAATGAAGTGAATGTAGTACTCCAAAAGTGATCTGACCACTGCAGAGGATAGCTGGATTATTTCTCTTGTACATTAACTGATGCCCCGTTGCCCTCTACCTTTTTCTCAGCAGCCACTTTGACTACTGACTGTTTACTGAGCATATGATCAACTGAATTTTCTATGTATTCCAAATCCTGTTCTTATACAATTGAATGTCTAAAACAAAAATACAAAGCCTTGAATTTATCCCTAGTACATTTTATCTGGTTAGTTCTACGACTTCATTTCAGCATGCTAAAATCCTTTGGGATACAGATTCTACTTTGAAATATACTTGCTTACCCTCACAGCGTGCCTTCTATTTCTTCCTCTAGTTATTGATAGAAAAGTTTGTTAGAACGAGGACAAGGGCAGAGGCCTGAAGCAAAATTCTGATGGCAATGGGAAACTATTTTACTAGGAATAAGTATTTTTGAAGATTCAGGATCCCAATCCTACCCGCCAGTCTGGCCTGCCACAGTTGACTGAACCTCCATTCTGAGAGCTACTTTCCTTAGATGTTTTTGTGCATTTTCTTTATCCAGAAATTTTATTCTTGTTGGTGAGGATTATTCCCCCTTCACCTTTTCTCTCAACTTTATTTCTTGATTTTTAACTTTCTTCCCACCTCTTCTAAGATTTGAAATGATCACAGCCAATAATATTTCAGATTATGTTGTGAGGTGAATGAGAATTCCAACAAATATGTGAGTGTGTTTGTCTTCTGATTACTGTATTATCTTTCCTCTGTTTGAATTTTGTGTTTTGCATTACAAAAGCATTAGCCATAAACTCTGTCTAGCCAGGCAGACTGTAACATACTACCAGAAAGACATAACTTCTGTTTTTCTTCCTTTTCATTCTCATGCAAATACTCTCTACCACACATTTACACTCAGGTTCAGGGATTTCCATATTGTAATTTTCTCCTTTTGAACAAAAGGTATACTTCCACTGACATAATTCAGTCATAAGTCCCATCTTACTAAATCTCAGTAATACCTAGAGGATCATATATTTACCTTTTTAAATTTAGAAATGATTTCAAAATCACAGAAAACTTGCGAGACTAGCACAAAGAACACCCGTATATGCCTTACCCAAATTCACCTACTGTTAATATTTGTCCAACTTCCTTTAGCATTTGCTAACATTCCCTGTTTTTTTGGAACCATTTTAGAGCAAACTGCATGCATTATGGTCTTTCACCTCTGAATTCCTCAGTGTATATTTCCTAAGAATAAGAAAATTCTCTTACATAACCACAGTATAGTTACCAACTTGAAGAAATTTAACCTTGATGCAATACTTTTATCTAAACCACCATTTATATTCCAAGTTTTGACATTTGACTAAATAATATTCTTTATGACATATAAAGAACCCAATATTGTCCTTGATAGTTTAGAGTCAGGTATTACATTTAATTGTCATATCTCTTTTGTCATATCTCCTTTAATCTGGAACATTTCTTCAGCCTTTCTTTGTCTTGAACAACACTGACATTTTTAAAAAAATGTTCTTTTATGGCTTTATTATACTTCATTGTACTGTTCCTTATTTTGATTTTTTCTGAAGTTTTCTCATGATTATATTCAGCAGTACAGTTCTTTCTTAGACACATGATGTCCACTTGCCCTTCACTGATGATGCTAATTTTGATCACCTAGTCAAGATATTGTCTGACTTATTCACTGTAGTTACTACTTTTTCTTTTGCCCCTAATAAGTAATCTGTGTGGTATATTTTAAAACCATAAAAATACCCTGCTTCTTCATCAAACCATCTCATCCCCACCCCTACCCTTGTTTTATTATCAGTTGACAATACTTGCCTGAATCAATCATTAATATGATGATTGCAAAATGATTATTTTCCAGTTGAGTATTCCCTCCCACATTTTCAAGTTGGCGCTTGGCATTCTACTATAAGCAAGAGCCCCACTCCCCATTTCCTCCCATTTGTTTATATATCAGTATGGGCTGATGAATTCTCTTTTTTTCGATTGTTAATAATTATTTACTGCCCTTACTTGTGTTGGTGTTCAAATTGTCAAGATTTACCCATTGGGAGCCTTTCAAGGTGATTTCTGGGTCCTTATAATATTCCCCCATCATTTTCTTGAGCACTTCCTTACTTTCTGGCATAACAAAATGTTCTAGGCTCATTTTGACGTTATTCTGTCCCAGCCTTGAAATCAGTCATTTTTTTCCAAGGAACCCTGGTTTCTTTTAGTGGGACAATATTAGAGACCAAGGCTTGAGTGCTAGATATGCTAGATATACACACAAACATCCATATATGTAAGCATGTGCACCCACATATAATATACATGCATACATACTTTATTTATGTGCACATAAACATACGTATATTTTAGGAGTCATGAGTTTACATCAATACCTTAAATTCCAGTCCATCCCCACAGGTTCTTTCCTGCCTTTCTCCATTCTGTGTTTGCATGTTCCTTCTTCCACAGTATGAACCCTGGCTCCCAACATCAACACATGTACTCATTTGCTCAATCCCATAATACATCTAAAATAGTTTCTGAATTGCTTTGTCCATGCCACTACAAAAACAAACTGGCTAACAATACTTCAGGATTTGTTTGAGGTTTTCCTCCCACCCCCACCATGTTGGTGTAATTATGCTGTTCATCTGAAATGCAGTTGGGTTTGTTTCAGTTTGCCTTCAGTTTTAGTCCCCACTTTTCCCATCTGTATTGATTTAATTTTATTTTTTTGAATTTGTAAAACAATGTGTTTCCCAAAGAGGATACTATACAAAAAGGTACATTCAGAGAAATGTCATTTCCTCCCATATCTTTTTAATCCTGTTCCTCCACCCCCTACCCCTTGTGGATAATCAACTTCATGAATTTTTTATTTATCTTTCCTGTTTTTATTGTTGTTGCTTTGTAAATCCAAGCAAATATATGCATGTTTTCTTATTTTTCTTTCTCTCAAAAAAGTAGTGTACTGCATATATACTACATATACATATATACTTTTGGAATTTGCTTTTTTCAATTGACAAAATTTCATTGAAATCAGTCTATATCAGTTCATAGAGATCTTTTCCTCATTCTTTTTTCACAGCTGCATAGTACTTCATTGTGAAGTTTGTCCTTGTATTGTTGGGTGTATATCTGGAGATTATATATTTTCCTCTTTGTATTAAAATCTTATGTGCAGCTTATGATTCATACTGTGTATTGGTAACATAGGCAAGGCCTCAAACATTGCTCCTACCCTTTTAATCCATATTGTCTTTTAATGAGAATCACTGGGCACCTCCACCAATTCTTCTTCATCTTTCTCCAGCATATCTGTTTGCCCTCCATTATGTTTCTTTTACTAGTTTTAATTTAGACTTTTCAACTTCCCCTCAGATTAATTATAAACCTTTGATCAGATCTCTTGCAAAACACTCATGACTTATTATTTTCAATTTTCAGCCTCACTAAATCTTGTACTGGAGTTGCATAGAAATGACTGAATTCACTGCTTATTTTCCTTGCCCTTCCCTTTCTACCCTCTAGTAGAACTATGGCTAAAAACTGGTAAACTAACTGAAAAGCAGGTAACAGTAGCGAGAAGTCTAGATAATCTGCAGACTAGAATGTTGGTTTTTCTTTTATCGAAAGCTTGCCAGATATATGTTTTAATTATGTACATTTCCCCTGTTTAAGTTAATATTTGCAGTCTAAAATCCATCAAAAGCAGAAGCCTAGTTCTCTGATCCCTTTCCTTACTTGGAAGGGAGGAAGATTACAGATAACAATGTGCTCTTGGACCACTCAACCCAAAATGAACATGGGAATCACACAACAGAATGTGTTGTGTAAGAAAGAATGGGGAGATGATATCTTGCTTTGGTTATCATGTCATCTCTTTGGCTTCCCTATGGTGCTGTGGAGACCAGCTAGTTTGGGAAGTAAGGGTGAGGATGGAGTAGGAGAGTGAAATTGTAAGCCCTGAGAGCCTCACTACCTTGCAGAGACAAAAGAACATTTCTGTTTGCCCCATGAACTGTGATGTAGTAGAGAGAACACTGGGCTACCATTTAAAAAATACCAGGGTTCTACTCTCAGCACCATCGCCGACTATCTGTGGCCTTGGGCAAGTCACTTTGCTTGTCTCAATCCTAGATTCCCACTTGTGAAATAAGGGACATTCAGTATCTAGGTGTCCCTTTGGCTGAGTTTCCATGTTTCCGTGCTCTGCACAGGATTGCTCCATCCATATAAGACCAGACTCAGCTGTCAGAGGAGTGGACGTTTGGAGTAAATATCCAGAGACTCAATAAGAGTGATGATTCTGTGACTCTGTATAGTAGCCATTCCTGTGTTATCTGGCAAAAAATAAAAATTGAAATAACCTAACTTCTGCTAGTGGTTGCATTCAATTGCCAGAAGCAAGGAGCCTGGCCTAAGCCTAGTTCTGTGGCAGTAATGAAGTAGTGGAATCATAAGCCCTGGTTCATCTCATTACATCTTCTAAGACTCAAAAGAAAACAAAATGAATTCACTTTTGAGGGGATGGCTTTTGATGAATTTTCAGTGTGTTTTTCATTCTGTCTCTCTTACCTGCTGGCTAATGTCCTTGTCTTTCCCCATTTTACAGGCCTGTATAATTCAGTAGACAGCTGGATGATTGTGCCCAACATTAAACAGAACCATTACACAGTGCATGGACTCCAGAGCGGGACTCGCTACATCTTCATCGTTAAAGCCATAAACCAAGCCGGTAGCCGGAACAGTGAACCTACCCGACTAAAAACAAACAGTACGTTGTGGTAATTTCAAAAGGAAAGATCAATTTTCTTCTCCACGCCAGGGGAGTACACAGCCTGAGCAGGCACCCACAGCAGTGCATGGGGAGCAGTGGAACTGGGTAGAGGAACTATACTGTTGTAGTTTGTACTTTGGGCAAGGAGTGTGTTGGTGCCCATGGAAGATTTGTGGACCCAGAGATATGCACAAAAAGACTGGTAGCTTGGGAGGATGTTAGTGAAGATTTTTCTCTGCAATCCACCCCTTATATTTGGGGGACAATTGCATAAAAGAGCATTATTTGTGATAATCTAGCAAAATCCTACTACAGAGAAGCCATATCTGTTAAGAATGCTTTTGACAGCAAATAACAAAAAGTGCAACTAACATAGCTTAACAAACAGCGTTTGCTAATTGCTTAAATGAATGATATATATTTTCTCTCTCACACATGCACATAGGAAGAAGTTTGAAGGTAGGCAGTTCAGGGCTAGTGCAGCTGCTCTGCGATGTCATAAAAGATGCAGGCTCTTTCTCCCTGTGTGCATTGGCTTCTAGCCACATGGCTGCAAGATGGCCACTGCAGCTTTCAGATGTCATATTTCTTCTCAACAAAGGAAAGAGGAAAGAGTTGGTACACATAATCCCTTTTATCTGGAAAACCAAAACTTTCCTAAAAGTTTCCCCTGCTCTGTCTGACTTCTGCCTTCATCTGCTTCCATGTTCTTAGCTGCCCCTAGCAGCAAGGGAGGCTGGGAGATTGAGTATTTAGCTTTTCTGGCCTCTATAGTGAAAGCGAGTAAGAGAGAATAAGTTGAGAAAGGGTAATATGTTAGCCAACAGTGTCTGTCACAGAAGCATTCTGTATAATAAATCTCTTGCCATACCCAGCAACTGGTCCCTCAGTAACAATGTTTTTGTCATATTGTTATAAAGAATTCTCTGTTGTGAATGATCCTACACAATAAATGTTTTCTCTGATCATTGATGATGCAACAGTCACTCTAACAAAATTGCCTAATTATATGTTATTTACATCCCAATTGTAATAGGGCAAAAAAAAATTGTCCAGTTGCTGAGTTCTCAGGGTTTTCTGGTTGTGCCATCAGGCAGCAATTACCTCATCAATTCCCCTCACCTCAGACATCATAACACTATTTCCCTTAAAATCTACCCAAATCCCAAACAACCCACTGAAATTAAGCAAAGTACAAAACATATTTGGCAACATGAAACTTTGAGCACTCCCTTTTACTTTGATAATATATGATGCAGGGGACAGCTTATTAGCTCCTTTTTGCTTGGAATATGACTTCCCACAAATTGCTTTTAGGAGAGATCCACATTTTTTCCCACAGTGGGAAAATAAATGCCTTTATGAAGGTCGTTTTATGGGAGATTGACCTTTATTCTTACTTTATTGAAAACTCTGGCTTCTGGCCTCTTTTCTTAATAAAATTTAAACAGCAGCCAACTTGCACTGGACCAAGAGTGATCATGATGTCAAGCATACCCTGCCAGTGATGATGCTGGTGGAAAAGGTAGAATTTTAAGATACTTCACTGTGCTTTTTCTTTTTTTTTTTTTTTCTACTTTGTTTTTCAGGCCAACCCTTTAAATTGGATCCCAAAATGACTCACAAGAAGTTGAAGATCTCCAATGATGGATTGCAGATGGAGAAGGATGAAAGCTCTCTAAAGAAGAGCCATACCCCAGAGAGGTTTAGTGGCACAGGGTGCTATGGGGCAGCAGGAAATATATTCATTGACAGTGGCTGCCACTATTGGGAGGTGGTCATGGGTTCCTCAACATGGTAAGTGGATCCCATTTTCCTTTTCCCTTCTGTCCTCTGTCATTAGGTTCCTAGGAGATTCAATTCTATAGCACAACCATAATACCAATAAGTCAAGGTTAAAAGGTATGTGATGAAAACCACTCTAGAAAAATTTGCCAGATTTTTAATAAAATAATGGAAAATATACTGGGCTAGGAGATAGAAATTGCCACATTGTTCTAATTGCTAACTTTTTAAAGCTCTAGTGATATCAGCATTATGCATCTAAGTGTAAACTACTTAAGGAATAAACATGTATCCTATTTGTTATATATCATATATGGTGTCTAACACAACTCAGATCATTCATAAATGTTTATTTCTGTCTCCTCTCCACTGTCTCACAGGTATGCAATTGGCATTGCCTACAAATCAGCTCCAAAGAATGAATGGATTGGCAAGAATGCCTCCTCATGGGTCTTCTCTCGCTGCAATAGTAACTTCGTGGTGAGACATAACAACAAGGAAATGCTGGTGGATGTGCCCCCACAGTTGAAGCGTCTGGGTGTCCTCCTGGATTATGACAACAATATGCTGTCTTTCTATGACCCAGCTAACTCTCTCCATCTTCATACTTTTGATGTGACCTTCATTCTTCCAGTTTGTCCAACATTTACAATCTGGAACAAATCCCTAATGATCTTGTCTGGCTTGCCTGCCCCAGATTTTATTGATTACCCTGAGCGGCAGGAATGCAACTGCAGGCCTCAAGAATCCCCTTATGTTTCTGGGATGAAAACCTGTCATTAAGTTTCAGGAGAGCATATAATTCACCGGCTCTCTAGTTCAGCAGTTCTTCCCTCCTACACCTAAGTTAGCGTTCAATATATGAGATACAAAATAAAGTTTGTTTGAAGCATCCAAAATAACTAGATACTGCAGATTTAATTTTCGTGCATTAAAGCTTGTATTTGAATTAATATATTGAGTTTCTCAGAACAAATTATCTGAGTAGTCTGCGTTCAAGCCATTGGAGAAAAATTTAGAAAATGCCTCTGTTGTCACTGGAGAATTAAAAATTCCCAGTGATTTAGGAATATAAATTATATTGGAAGCAATTAGGATAATTCTAGTTAAATAATGTGGAAAGATGCCCTGAATAAGGGGCTAGCCAGCCAGAAGAGGGGGGTGGTCAGCCTTTCTAGTACTGGCCAGTTTGGCCATGTAGAATTTTGAACGATGTCAAATTATCACATATTATATTTTACTTTTGATGAAAACCTATCATCAAGGTTTTGTTAGGAAACCATGAATGTGTATATGTAATATGTAAAGTGAACATATATATGTACTTTATATATATTCACTTGCATATGTATGTATATGTATATTCACTTTATATATTATATATACAAAAAAACTTTTTTTTTTTCCCAAACACCAACTCAAACTAGAACAAAAAACTTTTTAATTTGCTCCTTTGAGTGAGAAATATACTGGAAGGGAAAATAAGTTACGCCATCCATTTTTGTCCCCTAAAGGAAACATCAAAATCAATCAACATTTCTTTCCTCCCTCTATCCATCATTGCCCTCCTCCCTCTTGTCACGCATACATACACATGCAACCATGACATAGATAATGGGAAGAACTCTATTGGATTAGGAGAGATTTGCAGACAAGATTGCACAAGAGATGCTGTTGCTGGATAGAAAATTGATCCAGGTAGAAGTGATGCTACCTACTTGAGGATGGCCATCCGAATTGTTAAAAATTCTGTCATAGACTATTTAAAAAACAGTTACCACTCCCAAGTACATACAGTTATGAGAATTAGGCTTTTAAAAAGTTGCAGAGTGAAGGCTCTTTAGGAACCTACTTTACTTAATCAGTAAAAATGGCGTATTATTGATGCACCAACTATTCACATATAAATGTACTTGCATTTTCAGATAAAACACTTCTGAAGTACTTAAGAATGTCTGAAAACAGTTTGTTTTCTTAAATGGGATAAATAAGCATTCCTTTTGCAATCTTGGTTAAAGTATTCATTGTCTTAGCCAATCACTCCACGCAAATGCAGACATAAACTTCATCCCAGTCCTGACCAGTATAGTTGAAGGAAATGGAGCCTTGTGGTCTATGATTTTTTTAAAATTTCCATTGAAGGGATTGGGGACGTCAGAGAACCAGAGCTTTCTCCTTTCCAGGGCTAAGATGGCTTCAGAAGTGTTCTCCTGGTATTTGTGAAAATATTACTGCTGTAAAATTACAAAGTGGTAGCTGTAACAACTTCCCCAGATTGGAGACTTGAAATGTCAAAACTCCCCTCTTCCTTTCCCCTAGTTTGGTGGATGCTTATTTATTAATTCATTCAATAAACTATTAGATGCCAAGTACCAAACTACTGCCATGGGAGTGCACATACTAATAAAATGCTCTACCTGCTGCCAATGGCTTACTATTCTGTGAAAGAAACAAAGTATATAATCCTCCCCAATAACAGTTATGTATTGTTTGTTCACTTAATGTGGAAAGCAAGACTGATGCAGACACACAAGGAAGGCTCAAAAATATAAATCTAGCAAGGTCATCTTTTTTGGTTTTAAAGACCATATGTACTTACTGCTAATCAGGAAATGAGCAACCTCAGTAAAATTCATCAGTGCTGGTAAATAGCTTGCTGTAGTGGAAAGCTCATAACCTTTGGATTCAAATGATCCTAGTTTTTCTACCATTTATTAGTGTTGTGACCTAGGACAAGTACCTCACTTCTCTGAGCCTCTGTTTCCTCCTCTGTAAAATAATGTCTACTTCACAAGGCTGTTTCTAAGGTTAAAAAAGATAGCATATGTAAACTGTCTAGCTCAGCACTTGACATTTCTTAAGTGTGCCATCAATATTAATCTCTTTCCCTACCCCCAGTTCCAATACAGTGTAGCAGTGCTTTAAAATGTGTGTCCTTCATTTCTCAGTCACCTTTGTCTCTTCCCTAGGGCCTATCCCCAAATTCTTAAACAAAAAAATGATTTTTTTCCCCTTCATAAAACTTTTCACTGGCTCCCTTAGTACCCAGTAGAAGGTCCCAACTCCTTAGAGTTTGGCTTTTCATGTCCCTGTTTGTTTATACAGCTTCATCTTTTGCCACTTCCCCCTCACATTGATTAAGCTAGCCAAGTTCAACTATTTACACAAGTTATTCTCTGGGCCTGCAGCAGAAACATGATTAACAATTTTAATGCCCAGAGTAAACAACAGAAATTTTTCTTAAATTAAAGGAATAGTGTGAAAATGCTGTAAGTACAGAAAATGCAGCCTCCATCCCAGTAGAACAATTTCCTTTGCCTTGTCCTTTGCTCTCCAAAGCTGTTCACTTATTGTGGTGTCTTTTATATTTTAGTGCCCTGGGACAAAGCTCTAATTTCCCCACCCTACTTTTGACTCTATCTTGGACTACCTTTCCTCACTTCTATCTCTCTCAACCAGACTAACTCTCTATTCCCTAGACTGGATGATGTGTCCCTCTTTGGAGATCCCATGACACCCCAAGCATCCCCTCTCTCAGCAATAATCACATTGTATAGCAGTGTTTTTCAAAGCATGGTCCTCACACCACCTATGTTAGAATCACCTTTAGTGTTTGTCAAAACAATTGATTTTGGATTCCCACTCCTGACTTAACCAGAATATCTGAGAACATAGGCAGGAATTTACATTTTTGACAAGCTCCTCATGATTTTGATGCACAGAAAATTTTAATGTATAATCATCTTCCCTACTAGACTGAACACCTTGAGGCGAAGGACTGTGTCTTTTGTTGTTGTTATATTTTTAATACCTGGCACAGTGCCTGGAACATTAGCTTGCCTAATGTTTATTGAATTAATGTACCAATGAAAAACTGAATTATGAAAGTTTCCCTCTTGTACTCTCATGTTCATAGTGATGTTTGTTACTTCCTGGCCAGAAAAGCTTGGCTACTACTCCATTTGAGCTGTATTAATTCTATTTTGCAGAAGTATCAAGGCTCCTACAGAATAAATGATCATTGTCCTCCTCAAAAACTCTTTGGCAGTTATCTTGGGGAAATGTCTTTGGAGCATATGGCACCATTCTTTTCAGTAACATTTCAATCTTGTCAAACTTTGTTCTTTGAAGGTGGATTTACATTTTGGTTATAGCCAAAAATCACTCAGAGCTAAGCCTACTTAGAAAAGTGGAGAATTAAACTGGGTTTGGAGTAAGCAATGAAGTTTAACTCTGAAGTCCCAATTTCTGAGCCAAACAGTGAAAAATGACTTCTAAGATACAACATGGTGGCAAAGTACTCAGTGGGGGTGTGATGGGCCCCAGATATTTACTTCAGTTAACTTGACTTTTATAGAATCCTGGCACTGCCATGGACCTTAAGAGAAGTAATTGGCTACCTCTAGCTAAACCCAACTGGACAAAGAGAATAGGACCTGTAGTTAACATTTTCAAAGAAGATGACTCCATAAGCTTTTGTTGCTGTTGCTCTACTCAACCTGTTCTCCACAACCGTTTCTACCAGAAGATTATTTTATGTCTGCAATTTATGCTTGTTTCCACTTTTTATATTGTCTTACTGAAGAAAGCACAAAAATAATCAAAAATAAAGTAAAACCTGTTTTGAGAGTGTGAAAGAAATTTTAATGCCACATTGAGGTTCTGGCTACTTGTAATTAAGAGTAACTGCATCTGGATGTGTTTTTATTATACAGTTCAATGTGTATCTTTGGATGCAGTGAAATTCAGATTGCAGCAAAATCACTTATCCATTCTTTTTGGCTAAAACACACTAGGTGAATTTTCTAAACTTCCATGGTTTACATATTTATATATGACTACCAAGATGGAGCAATCCATGGATAGACTTTTGAATAAACTCAAATATTTGATACCCCTTCCTCCAAGGAATGGAGAATGTCAGGCAGGTAGGTAAGAACCACTCCTACAGTTATTTCTATCTCCTGAAGCCAACTGCAGCCTTGGAACCAATGGCTGTATTTGGCTGTGTATTACAGGTTGGCCAAACTGATTGCCATCAGGTCAGGCAAACTGCCTTTTATGGTGTAGTCTGCCAGCTTCAGACATACGCTGTGTTGTTGTTATTGGCTAGACTATTTATTAGACTATTGTTGGACTATTTTTTATCAAATGCTTTACCCCACGACTGTTTGTATTGGGAGCTCTGGACCAACAGTGTCTCTGCTAGTGACAGAAATATGAGCATCTGTGGATTACACAGCCTCATCCCTCTCTACAATATCCCAGTCCATCCGAAATGCTATATTATGAATTAAATAAATATATATGTATTCATGAATTCTTGGTTGTCTCGCTGGAGTTTAATTGGGGGAGGACTAAAAGGAAGATAGCCATGAATTCTTCTGGAATTCAGTAAGTGACTAGGGGAAACCAAGGATCATATAATAGGTAGTGATCTGGACAGAAAGGACCCAGGGGATCTGGAGCTCAAAATTCAATCAAGAAGACTTTGATTTCAGGAGCATGATGTGGTCAAGAAGACCAAAGAAATGAAGCTATAGGGTTCAAGGAAACATGACACATTCAGTTTTAGAGATTGGAGCAGAAGGTGAGAATCAAAGAACAAATAAAATCCCAGTGCTGGAACCCATTGATTAAAATTAGGGTAGCACCAGAAGCAAGTGAGCTGACTTACTGTTAAAACAACTGGCCCGCAGGAGGAGACTGGGAGGAAGCTAGGAAGTCCCTCAGGGCTGGAATTGGGCATATCTTAATCAGATTTGTAGTGGCACTAAGACTAAAAGGGATCATGCGATATGAAGTGAATGAAGCAGGGCAGTCAAGGGTGGCAGCTAGAGAAGTGACTTGAAACAGGTCATCAGACCAGGGGCCTATAAGAACTACAGCCCAAAGGTAAGAGGAGTAAAATATAAAGGAGAAAAGAATTTGGAACATTGTGTGTTTAATGGTT